ACTGAGGCACAAGCCCAGCAGACACGAGGCACAACGTCGCTCACTGTCAAATTTACGATCTTTGGTTGCATTTGGTAATTGCTGTGACCTGTTTGCAATTTACATTCTGCAAGCCAAGAAGGAGGTATCAAATAGTTACTATGTTTTAGCAATGCTGGATCCATGTAGTGCTATAAGGGTTTTCATAGAGACAAGTACTTAAGCGAGACGAACTTTTTACCGATATTAGCGCTTTAGGTGAGGCTTATAATTTATTAAGTCAAAAAGAAAAAAGTTATGTAAGTCATACTAGATTGCAGGACACTTTAGAGGGAATTGAATCTTAATAGCTCAAGAATTCACAGCAGGTTGTTGGAAAGTTTCTTGTAGAAGTTCAAGCTTCGGTTATCTAAGCGGAAAAGGTCGAAGTGGTGCCGATGTACTGATATCTTATCTCATCGGTAACTAAACCGCTATCAGTTGTGATCAATGCTCACTGTGATCTCGACCATATGATGAAGGCTTTATTTGCATCACTTCAGAAACCATGTTATAATAAGAGTGTCAATACTGCGGGTTTCGTGAAACACAAAATTCTCATACAACTGTGTTAGAGTAAGTTTGAGCCTTACTGACAAAAAATGAGCAATTTTTAGGCTAACATAAGGGGATTTTTTTTACTAAACACCTATTAAATGGACGCGTAATCAAATAAGACTGCTAAAAATTCTACTAAGATCTCAAAATACCTATTAAGGTACTCTCTGCTAATCCTGGTAATTGTAAAGAATATTTACAAATTACAGATACTTTTTTTTTCTTTTTTTTTCTACAGACGGATCTTTTTTCTGAGCCAGAATTGCCGTTTTTCCATATTGTTTTTAACGATATTTTTGAATCTCACTAAATTTTTGACAAATATGGTAATTATGGTTCTGAGCTTTGGTCCGATATTGTTAATTGTCTACTGGCTGACGTTTCGGCAAGTCGCTATCTTCGGAGCCTGGAATGGACAGTACGATCTGCAAACTATTCCACCAAATGCTCTGCACATGCAAACAAAACTTTAAGGCTTT